ACGTCCCTCTTGAGAATTTTTCACTCATATGGAGACGTCACCGATGCCGGTGAAGGGCTTCAAATTTAGACCTATACTCGGCACTCAGGGCCATTGAGCAGTGAGGGTTCTTCCGTGACACGGGACCTACGTTTTAAGGTCATATCCGAAAGACCCGTGACTTTCACTTCTAGTGCCGAGCGCTTGGCGAAGGAACAGTCACTACCTATGTATACGTCTTAGGTATGACGTGGCGCCGCGATCGAGAATCGAACCCGGGCCTCCCGATCACGAAGCGAATGCTCTACCACTAGGCTACCGTGACCGGTGAAAGTTATTTGGAAGCATCCTCGGAAAGTGTAAATTTATTTGGAAGCATCCTCGGAAAGTCTAAATTCAAAATTGTTTCATCATGATCTTGAGTGATAGAATTGTGCCATAATGAGCGATCAACATCTATACTTGAATTTATAGGGAAAAGTCTTTTAAAATCTGCTTATAAGGAACAACTAAGTCGGATTGGTCAAATTAATATAGAAAAATCATCTGGTAGTACGGAAATGACTTTCTTCAAAACAAGACCCCTGGTAGGGCGGACGTACAATGGACGATCCAAGTTTTACCTAGGAATATGAAAACAAGTCTAAATTGTTAAAAAAAAAATCTGTGAAGATGTTATTAACATAGACCCCTGGATATTGAAGAGCTGGAACCAGAGGAAGTAATTAAGGAAGAAAAGACAGAATTCAAGTTAAAAGATCCATTCAAACAATGCAAATCAGAATCAGATCAAAGGGGCCTTCAAACCATCAAAGGGGCTATCAGGTGGTACGAAGGAGTAAACATGCAGGCCGATCACACTCGTCATGTGCTCCTTGTCATGATCCAAAAAGAAGGAAAAAAAACCTAGGTATTTCAGGGAGTAATTAATAATATGGAAATAGTCAGAAAACATTTGACTCAATTATAGGTTGTATTTACTGACAAGGCCAATGGAGAGAACGATCATAGGCAGTTACATATATGCCTGCTGTTCAATCCATTTCTATGAATACAATATACTAGTATTTTAAACTAAGTCTAATGCGTCGATCTAAACACTTGCGGAATCATGACTTCAAACGAGACGGTTGATATCCTTATTTCATCATTTTTTTGTCGATAGCTTGCTCTTGCTTGTTGAATAAACTGAAAAACATTAAACCCTTTATAGTCGATAAGGATATATTATTACATAAGATAGGGAAATTGGCGATAAGAAAGTTGAAGTTATCACATTTATCATAAAGCTTAGCTTTGAAATATCTCAAACATATTAAAACGGCGCTTCATTGTAACCACTAAGCTATTGAAAAGTATCATTCTATTTTCATTAACCTGTTAACAGGTCGAGACCGTTAGTTTTTACTTTACCCATTGATGAATGGTTTGACATGTATTATGGTCTACTACAAGTACTCATCCCCCACCCCCCTCCCACTTTTTCCCCAACACTACTTTCACTATTTAAAATGTTCATTGAAAGGCTGGATCCCCCCCCGTATTGTAAAGTAAAGTGATAAGAAGAAAATAAAGTATTTTAAGAGGAAATAGGTATTAAAAGGACTCAGTGAAAAATATATCATATAAAGATATGCATAAAAATTAAAAGTAAAATGTTTGATTAAATATTTTTATTAATAATAGATTTAAATATTTATATATATACGAGGGTTGTCCAAAAAGTTCGTGGACAATAAGGTTTTTGTGAAAATAAATGGTTCTATATAAATTTATTGTATAGCAAAATATTTCTTATGAAAAAACTAGTCAGAATGATTTAATTTCTATTGATGGAACATTATATTTTTGTAAAATTCGGGGTCTTTAAAGATCACAGATTGTGTGCATGGACCAAGGTTAAAATGACATAAACTCTGATATAAAGTGTTCTGTTTAAACTTATTATTTTCTATATGAAACAAGTCAAAAATTAATAAAAATTTTATGTAACACTAATTAAGACGCTATAGTCATTTTATGATATCTTAATTATCACTTACTAAATAGACAGTACAAATACTAAAAAAAACCTAACAAATATGTGTCCAAACTCGACAAAAAAAATCTATTATAAATTATGTAATTATTAACAGTAAATAAGAATTTCTTTAATCTTACATCTAAGGGCAGATTACTCTAACTTCATAAAACTACCCAATAAAAAGAGCTCTTTAGTGTGCAGTGTCTACAGCGTCCTTAAGAAGAGGTCTGCCATCCATGAACTACTTTTATGGTTCTTTACACTCATTTTGAAGTAGGGATGTCAAATTGTCAATAATTGATATTCGAATATTCGATAGGAGTATTTGAATATATTCGAATATTCGATAAAATAAATACATCTTGCATTATAAAATAAATATCTTCACTTTCCTGTCAAGCAGTATAGATTTTATGCCATTATTTTGGAACAGAAACTCATTACAGAGTTTGGTAAATGTACAATTATATATATTTTATAATTATCTAATATATGAAGAGTATACATCCAAAATATAATGTTTTTTTAATTGAAAATATAATAGATTCATTAAGCATGTTCCAGATTTATTGATCGTCTTACTAAAGTCTAAACTGATAACTCCTACAAATTCAAACCAAGCACAGCAATTATCTAACGGAGAAAAAATGAAAGCAATTACTATTTGCTAATTAATTTCCTGATAATGATTTTAACTATATTTACATAAAAAAGGTATCCATGTGTTTACTGTAAAATCTGCGTCCTTACAACAAAACAAGCTGACTGTAAGTACTGGACACTATTTTACCACCCATTAATGATCAAATAAATAAATTACTTCAATAGATACACTCTTCACACATTTCAGGTAATCCAAGAGGACTGTCTTTTAATTTTGTAAAACTTGATTCAATTTCTAACAAGAAAACATTGATGTAACCATCAATTGTCGCCCGGAAAGTATATAAAGTAAACAATGAAAATGAGTCTTGATCAACAAACTTCTTCGATATGTGTAAAAAGGCATGCGTCTAATTTATTGAAGACGACAGTCGCAAATTTTTTTAAGTCGGATAAAAATCAATCAAAAACGATACCATTTTAAACTGGATCAATTCCTCAAGTAAATGTTGGATGCATAAAATATAAATTAAAGATGGACACACGCATCATTTATATTTAAAAATGTATTAATTTTCAATTTTAGAATATAAAACACGAACTAAAATGCAATTGCAGAGTACGTTTTTATCCGAGAAGTAAAATTCGATGTTCTAAAAAAAGGGGACCTGTCGTTGTTTCGAAAGTAAATGATAAGTAACTTTATCATGTTTCTGTATTAATTATGAAAAACATATATTTTTTTTTACAGATTCACTTTATGGAAGTAAATATATTATGTATCTCGTAATTTATAAACGGAAAGAACATTCTGATTAACAATCTTTTCAATGTTAAGAAACCTTTAATTCTACATAACTACTCCCATCTCAATCCCCATACACCAACACTTAAACTTATATGTATAGAGCAGCCCGGTCCCCCGGGCTGCAATAAGTTGTCAGGTTTTTCTCTCTTTTAAATGCCTGTACAGTTAAAAAACGAATATTCGAATCATGAAATCATATTCAAATATCAACTCATCGAATGAATAGTCGAATATTCGAATATTCGTTGACATCCCTATTTTGAAGACAACATTACCTAGTTTTCAACGTGAAATTACCATTTAAAAGTGCAATATTTAGACATTTTCTAAACAAATGGTTTTAGGGAGAACATTAATGCACATCTTGCATACTTTTTTTTTTGGGGGGGGGGGGGGGGTTAAGGCTCAGCCTGAATTCTGTAGCTGCGCATTTCTTAGGAGCATATCAAAAGCATTTTTCTACAAAAGTATAAATTATATATGCACAACATGCACTCAGTTATGCATATTTAGTGTATCCTTATCATACTGACTTAAAGTTTATCAAATTATTAATAAGCCATTTGAAGAATTGTTAACATGCTGTTCTTACTGCACTAAATGTGGCCGGACATTCCTTTTAATTTTTACGTTTAATGTTTACGAGGAGGGGTCCCTTTTTTCTTTAGGGGGGGGGGGGGTAAAGGTCACTTTTACTTGGTGTAATATACATATAGGGTAGGGTGGTGTTATTTCGACCACCTTGTTAGTTTCGATCGTTCATAAATACTTTCAAATATATCTTTTATGGCGTATAATTGCCTGTGTACATTTATATTATGCAACAAGAAAACGTATTTTTAATATATTAATTGTATCGATGATAATTCTATTTCCATGGGCGTTATAAAGATCGTTATTGGTTAATTACACTCAAGAAAAGGGGTAATCACCCGAAAAACTAGGTAAATCGCAAACGAGTGTATTTTTAACCACTAGATCTACGTACCGCGAATTATCCCCTCAGAAAAATCTTGTATGGAAAGACAATCAATGGATATCCTTGGCTTTATATTTAACAAATGTGATTTTGAAAACGAAATTCATACCCCCCTTTTTATTTATACAAAATTTTATTCACATATGAGTGAATGAGATTGGGCAACAGACAAAGCCTTTTTTAGCCCTACAAGGTCAAGATGAACACACAATATATAGGTATGAAAATAAATATAAAAACATAGTTAAAAAGAATGGACAGTTTTCCAAAAAGAATGGACACTTACAGGGGACTTAATGGATTGTTAGGGGAGTTAGCTCAACACTAAGCAAAATAATGGACAAGAAAAACAAAAGGTTAACGTCAAAATCATGTTATAACTGTAGATCCGCGCATGCATTACACTTCGAAACGAAAGTAGGTGGGCTGGGATTTTCCTTTTTATGTGCTTTCCTTTTCCTTTTCTAAATTTCCTTTTTATTTTTCACGTACATGTGTAGACCACCATTTGTAGGAAATCAGGTACTAGTTTCTTTAACACTATCATTAACATGTACTCGTAATATAGTAATACAATATCACTATAGTTTTTCTCTATTTATAGAAATACATATAAGAATGGACAACGTTCCCCGTTTATCAGAGGTCCTGTATGTTGGTCTGTGTCGTAAGATAGGGACACCGACAGAAGTGGCCATCAGAAGGGACGTGATGGACATGGATGAAATGATAAAGAAACCTTTTTTCAATCATAGAAAAAGTGCTGTGATGTTGAGTGGTAGTAATAGAGAGGGATTTAGGTTGAGATCATCTGACGTAGATCGAATGTTCTGGTTTAGTAATCATAAATTAATCACTGACATATCCCAGTCTCGGCTTTATAATTCATCAAAATATATATTTGTGCTGATGGAAGATTCTGATACACCGCCAGGATTTGTCAGATTACGCCTCCTGACACCATCGCGACAAACATTCATGACATCTTGTCTTGTTCCCTGTAGTGACGATGTCTATATATCTAGTCGTCTGTGGAGAGAATCCTTTTTTCAATCCCTGCATAAGAAAGGTTTCAACAACAAGTTTTCAAAAATTCATGGTCCTTGTAGTAGTGGTTTCAATACAGCATTTGAATTCGACGAAGTTTTGTGTTTCGCCTCTTTTCCCTGGCCTAAGCTGTTAGGAAGTTGGGTTGACAGATGCCAGCGGCACACCTGGCCGTCTGCAACTGCGTTAGAAAAAAATCCTTAAAAATGAATGTCACTGTGTGCCTATAGGAAGTAAAGTTGAATCACCTTATAACGAACTGGAATGGAGATTATCATTTTCCCAAGCCGAGCAACAATTAGTGTGTACCATGAATCATACACAATTTTTATGTTACGGACTCTTGAAAATATTTCTGAAGGAGGTTATCAATTTTAGGAAGGAACTTCTGTGTTCCTATTTCATGAAGACCATAATGTTCTGGATGATTCAATTCGGCCACATTAAATGGTTCCCAAACAAATTACTAGATTGCTTTTGGAGGAGCTTCAAATATCTCATAAATTGTGTTTATCGAGAAGATTTTCCAAACTTTTTTATTCCACAGAACAACATGTTTACAAGCAAAGTAGTTGATAATGCACGTGAATCCCATTTACAACAGCTTTATCAGTATTACAGAATGGGCGTGTCCTGTTTACTGCTGAGTCCGACTCTCAGATCAATACTAGAACCAGCCCTCAGTAGCCCGTCTTTAGAAATACCTGCTGCTGAGGGAGAATTTATGAGCGTTGCAGATTTAGATATGTGTAGCTTCAATGAATTATCTAAAACAGTTCAATGTGCACGAGACATAGTGGACTCTTATCTTTATCTAAAATCAATTAACACTCTATCCCAGTCATTACTCTCACCACACCAGTTGTTAACATTACAGTACTGTACTGCTGAGACACTCGTTCGTTTAGCTTTTATAATCGTGAACAGTACTTCATGTTGCACACATAAAAATAGCTATAACTTAGATACAATAATTTGTGGCATGTTGAAAATGGCTGCAAGATTAGGTTCTGTGTCTCACTTATTATATCTATCATTGTATTACTATAGAACAGGGAGATTCGAGAAAACACTACACATCACTTATAGCACTAAAAAAAGACTATCGCAGGCCTTTATTATGTATTATGAAATTGTTAATAGGGAAATGTATAATGAAACTGGAGGTAATCTGCCTTTGTCTCGAAGAATGAATATAGCCTGGGTGGATGATGTGTTGTTAGTTCAAAATATCCCCTTTATTGAAGAATTGTGTTTAGAACAGTATGTGAGTCAACAAAGTGGAGAGGCATTCTTAATTGTGTCACCGTTTGTAATGGTAGAGATGTTGTCAGTGTTATCTCACTACAGACTAGGCAATAGAACTCAGTGTTTACAGTCACTGACAGACCTACAGACATTGCTGCTTTATGATGATTGGACATATGTTCCTTTAACATGTTCCTTCAAAGACATATGCTGGCAGATACTAGGGATCTCGCAGCATATTGTTGGAGACTTACACGGGGCGTTACGGTCTTATGAAGAGTCGCTCAGACAGATACCAGATCACAAAATAAAAGAAGCCACAGTGTTTAGAATAGAATGTGTTAAACAACAACTACAGGAAAATATACACATGTGAAGAGATATGTCTTAATTTAAAGAGTTGTAGACCAGGAAGTGGCATTTGCTTTATAAAATTGTTAAGGGCACAGATAAAACGTATCTGTATGAAAATAACGTGCCCTCAAATAAAAGTAGACTGGAATTCTATAATATAAAATTATGTATAAATATTGGGAATACGTCTTTAAAAAAAACTTTGAAACTGCTCAAAAATTTCACACCAACTGAATTTTTTTTTTCATTATTATTTATGACTATTTTTACCACTTACTTTATTCATTTTGTTAACGCTGACCTGTATATATGAAAGAATTCTTAATTTGCTCTTCCATCAATGTACCATGACCTACAGATCAAAAATACAATATTATACATACAGAAATGTACTTTGTATGATTAAATTAAGACATAAATATTAATAAAAGAATGTTTTCTTTCTTTAAATGTAGGCGCGTCTCCATATGAGTGAACAATTCTCGAGAGGGACGTTAAACAACATATATATACAATCAATTTATCTTTAATGTGGGACTCAGACCACAAAACATTATCTGAAAGATTGGAAATTTAAATGTGCAGATAACATGTATGCCATACCTATCTGACTGATACATTGAAAAATAGTTGATGATAGACAAAAATGGGCAGTGATTCAGACTTTTAAGAAAACACTGAATTTAATTCATATGATACGACAAAAAAAAATATCAAAGGCATTAAAATAGGGAAGGAAAAAGTTTGTTTACTACAATATGCAGATGACAAATTCCTTTTTTTTGATGGATCAGAAAAGAGTTTACAAAGTGCACTCGATCTTCTTTTTCAATTCTCAAACCCCGTGGGGATCCGGGTTAGAATAGGTCCTCAGTACCCCCTTGCTTGTCGTAAAAGGCGACTAAATGGGGCGGTTTTTCGGATGAGACCGTATAAACCGAGGCCCCGTGTCACAGCATGTGTGGCACGATAAAGATCCCTCCCTGCTCAATGGCCCTGAGTGCCGAGCATAGGCCTAAATTTGCAGCCCTTCAACGACAATGGTGACGTCTCCATATCAGCGAAATATTCTGGAGAGGGACGTTAAACAGTATACAATCAATCAATCAATCAATTCTCAAAATTCTCCGGACTAAAGCCTAATGTTTAAAAAAGGGAGTATGGATAAGATCTAAAATTAAAACAGAAAATATTTTATGTAGTGAAACAGGATTAAAATGGACAACTGAACCATTTCATGGTTTAGGTATAACATACACTGCAAATCTTGAAAAGATGGAAGAGCCTAATTTTGACAATAAGTTTAAAATTATTAATAAAGAAATAAATCATTGGTCAAAAAGGAATATTTCATCTTTAGGAAAAATAACGGTTGTTTAAAGTTTGCTTTTATCAAAGTTTACACATTTATTTATTTCCTACCGAAACCAAGCGTGCAGTGGACACAGCAACATCGAAAAACTCTGTGTAAATTCATATGGGGAAATAAAATTGACAAAATATCTCAAGAAAAGTTAGAGTTGGATTTTGAGAGAGGTGGATGTAGAATGACTAATATAGAAACAGTAATTAAATCCCTAAAATTATCATGGAATAGAAGAATATTTACAAATAACTGAATAAACATTTTTTTCTGAAATTTCTGGTTGTAATATTAATAAACTTTGTCAGGTTGGATCTGAATATTTTAAACAAAGGGCAAAAATCATACAAAACTTTTTTTTGGAAAAAAAAGCTTTGCTTTATTCTGCTGAATTTTTAGAAAGTTTTAATTTTCATGATGTAGATATATTGTTAAAACCATTGTGGTATAATAATAAGATGAAGATTCAAAATAAATGTGTATTTTATAAAAACATTGTATGAAAAAGGGTTCCATGTAGCACATTTGATACAGAAGGCAGAAGTTTCCATTCACTACTTATGAGGGACTAAAACAAGCAGTTTTTATATTCATGGCCAAATGTCAAACAATTGTCAAAAACTACTTATTGTAAACCATCTGCATTTTTAGAAATACTTTGTCAGAAAAAAAAGATCCAGAATCATTTATAATCATTTAATGTCTGAAATACAGCACAAACCTATTTGTGAAAATAAATGGGCTATTGACTTAAAGTTGAAATCTGATTTTAATTGGAGGCATATTTATACAAACTTTAAATACTTAACTAAAGATTCAGCACTGATATGGTTCAGTTATAGAATTATTCATAGAATTTCAGGTACAAATAAATACTTACACTTGTTTAAAATTAAAGATTCTCCACTTTGTTCATTATGTGAACAAGAACCAGAAACAATTAAACAATTATTTTTACTGTCCATGTGTTTTTATGATTTGGCTAACATTGTCAGATTGGATTTATCAGAAGTCTGGTAAAAGAATTGAATTTGATGTAAAGACTGTTATTTAAGGTAAAAAAAAAAAAAAGATCATGAAGCTATAAACTTGATTATTCTGTTAGTGAAGTAGTACTTAATTATTTCAGCAATCTAAAAACAAATCTTGTATTGTTTTAAAGATATTTTGAGAGTTTTATATAATTACTATATATACTTTAGAAGAAAAACTGTCAGAAAATACTCTTAATAAAATAAATGGTCCAATTGGAAATGTCTATTTAATGTGTCTAATTTTTGAAAATGTTCTTGAATAATTATTGTAAATATTCTATTGGTCTTCTTTTCCAACATGTACGAGGATGAGTGAAAGGTTCTGTATATTAGTGTATTTGTTATGAAAATAAACAAATAAATAAAAAAAGATTGAATTCAAATTTGGCTATATATGTGCATGTTCGTTTCTCCTTAACTTTTGTTTGTTGGTTTTAATTGCAATTTAATAATAGTGACGAAATGTTAAGTTGTCACATTCTGTAAATTTATTTGTATTTACCGCTCCTGGTAAAATCAAAATTTACAACTTGAAAAGTACAATCATTTAGAATATTTTTTTAACTTTATAAAAGTGGGCCTAACAGTAAAATGTCTTTCTGTTAGAAATTTTTTCGATCAGCTTTTCTAAACATCCGTTGCCTGTCGTCCGATAATCAAGAAAAGACAAAAATTGGCTGGGATCATTAAAAAATCTTTTCAAGAACCACTGTGCCAGAAGAAGAAAATGAAACTTACATGTATGTTGAAGTATATTGGGGCAGTGTAGATTCTAAAATTGTACAAATCATGATCCCCAGGAGTAGAGCGGGGCCACGATAGGGAATCCAAGTTTTACATTGAAATATATAGAAAATCTTTAAAAATCTTCTTCCCAAGAACCAATGGCCTATAGTTAGAAAAAACTTAATCTTGTGTGGAAACATTCTAGGGTAATGTAGATTCTAAATTGTCCAAATCATGACCCCCGGTGGTAGGTAGAAGTCACAATAGGTATTACAAGGGGGCTGTTATGAACAGCGTGGCTAAAGTTATTCAGCTGAGCTATTTGGCCATTATGGGCTCTTTTTTATTTTGATGAATGGTTTTCCATGGTAACTATGAATAGAAATGTTCTGAGAGATTCTCTTAACGAGTCCCTCTCCTTTAGTTTTAGTGAGATTGCTATAAAACTAGCCACAAAAAGAAGCGAACCTTAAGACGATAAATCACTTAAGGATAAATAACTCAAACAAACTTTTCCCCCAGAGAGTGAAGTATTATTCTGAAGCCTTTCTTAGTAAAGAAGAAATATTCGACGATCTTACAATTTCATGATTGAACAATTTACCAAATTTTGGGCGAAAGTTGAAAAATGTATGTTTCTAGTTCAATATTTTCTTTAAAAGTTTCTAATTTATTTTCTGCCATCTTTAAGAACAACTTGCATTTATAAAGGTATACAGATAAATATCCTGGGTCAAATATTTTATGTAAGAAAACATTTTTTCTTATAATCTTTCAAATGTAATCAATATCCAAAAAATGGAAAAAAAAAATTGATGTAAAAAGTTAACAAAAATATGTTAATATTTTATGGAGTATTTTCAGTGGTATTATTTTTGAAATAATAAGGAATTAGGTACCCTTTCGGCACTAATAAAAAAAAAAAAAAATAACAAAGAAAAATGACATTTAATGAACAAGGTCAGGAAAGAGTTGTCTCCTCTAAAGTCTGCACAAATATCATTTTCGTCAACTTTGATTATATTGATACCTTGCTGCTTCTTTTTACCCTTCAAGCATCTTTCTTAAAAGCTTATACTTGGACTTGCTAGTAAAGAATGATTGCACTTAGTGTACTTCACGTGGCCCCCGATAAATTACGCAAAACTAAGGTATAGAAAGTAGCCTAATGAAAGTAATAAAACAATTCTTCAAGGTCTAGATTGCAACTTTGCAAAATTACAGAAATTAAGAGTGAGTAATATTGAAGAACGAGACTGTGTTTTGTAAGAGGGGTAATGCAAATCACGAATCTCCATTGTTATTCAAAGTTATTCCGATTTCTAGAGCTGAAATACATAGTGAGCGCATGCTTGCCCAAATTTCTCAAAAGGACAGACGGTGTAGAACTTTTGGAAATTCAACATATTTAAGGGAGAATTTTGGGCAAGCCTGTGCTCGGGGTAAACTTTTTGAAAAAAGGTACAAAACACCGACAGTTTTCTTCACTGTTTACGGGTATTTACATGTCATTGACCTCATTGTGACCTGTTTAATATTCCAATTTACCACGTGATTTGTAGACTCAGGTATATAACATTGTGAATACAAAAAATCGATAAACCACGTGGTTGTAGATTCCGTCGAAAAACGTCCAACTTAGACCGTTTACATGTACATTTTCATTCAATCAACATAGAATTATTTCTTTTTTGTCAAGTGTTTTAATAGGGTGCTGGAATAATAAATTGGAAAAAAATGTAACAATATTTTATTTTTAGTCCTTGGATTTAAGGGGCACGTTTAGAGGCTCAACGAGTTTCAAAGATTTAGCTCCCATCTTCGAATTAGCATCATTCCTCAAAGTGTTTTTGATTGTAAAAAAATATTAGGACACGGGGTAGAATATGTAGATTGTTT